GCACACACGCACACACACACACGCACACACGCACACACACAAGAAAAGTTCCTCAAATAAGATCAAGTCTGGCATTTCAAAGAACTTTCTAAGAACTAGCTTCTTGAAGCTGTGAAAATCAATAAACTCACAATCTTTGTTTTGTTTCACACTATTACCCTGCACATCAAGCTTGTGTATTTCAGGTAAATGAGGACCACAATGAAACTGTCATTTAAAAGCTCATCTGTTACACGCTGTCGATCGTTGAACTGAACTAACCTTTGCCACTCCAGTTTGGGCCGAAGCTGAAACTTCATCAGACACTCGGCTCTGACGTTAGGAATGTGGAGAGAAGCCCGCGGCTCCTACAACAACCACAAAAAACTGATTAATAAATGATTAACAAATCTTTCCTTTCATAATTAAATAGTTAATTAAAATAGAAATAAAATTATATATATAAAAAAAAAAACATTAAGTTAAATTAAAAAATATATATTTTAATCAGAAAAAAATAATATTCAAGTACATTAAGCATATTAAGCATAAGCATAAATAATACATGAAATGTTAAATATAATTTTAAAAATCTAATGAATAAATTGAATATTAAATTACAACAACAAAAAAAAAATTTGAAAAATTATATATCAAAATACAAATAAGAATTTACATCGGAATAAAAAAAAAAGTTTCCAAAAGCAATAGTTAAAATCTAATCAAACTGACCTGTAAGAGACTATTTAATATTAAATGAAATAAAAAAATAAATATGAAATTAAATTAGAAGTGATCAAGAGAAAATCCGAAAACTTTTATATTACTAAAAAAAAACGCAAAAAACCATTAAAAACAATAATATTAGAAAAGAAGTAACATTAAAATACTTAAAAAATTACATGAGAATAAATAAATAATAGAAACATTCCCAATTGGCAGTGGTTACAATCTAAATCAAACTGACCTGTAAAAGAGACTATGTAATGTCTGTATTTATGTTCTACTGTTAGTGTTATCTGTATGCACCAAGGGTCTGAGAGTAACGCAATTTCAATTCTCTGTATGTATGTGCTGTACATGTGGAAGAACTGACAATAAAGCAGACTTGACTTGACTTGACTATGTAATATAAAATACAATTTAAAAAATGCATTAAATATGGAATTAAATTAGAAATTATCAAACTAATAAATTGGAAAAATATTAAATTATTAAAAAAAAAATAGGGGAAAAAAAATGTAATACTGAAATACATAAATTACACAAGAATAAACTGGCGAAGGCTAAAAGCTAAATCAAACTGACCTGTAAGATACCTTGTAATATTAAATTAAAAAAAGTGAAATTAAAATGTACTATATTGAAAAAAAAAGAATAAATTACAAAAAGCAAACACTGAAAAAAAGAAGAAAATCAATCATTTAAAAAAAAAAAAGGCAATTGTCTAAATTTAAAGAAACAGAGACTATTTCTTATTAAATTAGCAAACAATATGAAATTAAATGAGCAAAAATGTATTAGTTAAAAAAAACTCTAAATGGATAAATGTAGCCTAAGTGAGTGGTGCTGTACTTTGGTCTTGTAGAGTTTGAGCGGAGGGAAGATCTCCGGATGGATGAGATTGAGCTGCGTCTGGAGTTTGTGACTGCGGGTGTTGTGCGGCGTGAACGTCTGCTCGTTCATCACCAGATGCTCAGTGCTGCTGGGAAACCTGAGACACAACAGACAAGACAAGTCCAGTCAGGTCACCTTTATTGGAGTAGTGCTTTATACAATACTGGTTGTGTCAAAGCAGCTTCACAGTGTCAAACAGGAAACTAGTTTGTCAATAATGCAAGAAGACAATAGAAAACAGTCAGTTTATCAGCTAAAGTCAGTTCATTGATGATCCTCTCTTCCAATAGTGTCTGTGCAATCAGTCAAGCGTCCCCAACTAAGCAAGCCAAAGGCGACAGCGGCAAGAAACCAAATCTCCATCGGTGACAGAAATGGAGAAAAACCCTTGGGTGAAACCAGGCTCAGTCGGGGGGCCAGTTCTCCTCTGGCCAGACGAAACCAGCATGGTGTGGTTTAATTCCAGGCTGCAGCGCAGGTCAGATTGTGCTGAGGATTTGTCTGGATCCCGTGGTTAAACAACAGATGCATCTCACACACACACACACACACACACACACACACACACACATCCTG